TATATATAATATTTAGTGGACAACACTCCTGGGTCTTCATTAATTTTCAATCTTTTTATTTATTTATTTGTTTATTTATTTTTTTAATATAAATAAGTGTTAATATGTGACGCATCCAAAAAGATAAAACACATCAACATGTTGTACTAAAGTTCACAAGTGCAAAGTAATGACGTCTCTGACATCCTATACTAATTCAAAAAAACATTGAATAATATGAGAAAACAGAGAGAAAAATAAGACTTTTCAAGTAACCAGGTAAAGACATCTGTGACAATTTATTGCAATGAACAATTAAACCGGTCAATAAGTATACAAGATTTAAAAAAAGGGGGGGGCACATATGCAAGGGGCACAAGAAGAAAGGAAAGTAAGGGGCTGGTGGTAAGGGTGATTTGGAAGTGATATGGAAGTTAAGAGGAAGATTTTACTATAAGGGCAAACATACATGTCCCAGTGATGCCTGCGATTAGAGAGAGTTAATGTCCAGGCTTGCAATCTTTTCAGCTGCTGTCATTAAAGGGACACTATAGCTGCTGTAACAGCTTAATCTCATTGAAGTAGTTATGGTATTTATAGTCGCTATCTGCTGTCTTTCCGTTAAGTGTTAAAACCATTTTTAAGGGTTAAACTTTAAATGACTATCTCCAATAGTTCATCCCCTCTGTGCTCCTCGGGCTAATTAAAAGCATTAGGCTGAGCAGCAATCATCCAATTGGCTGAGAGTGTCAATTGACAGCTTTCATCCTATCATAGTTTTCCATTGCTGGTATGAATGCATGGCTAAGGAAGAGTGTAATATCTGCCTTAATCATACCTCTAGTACTTCCCCCTCCCTGACATCCACAGAGCCCAATTCAGTGTTAAACCGCTCAAAAATGGTATAACACTGAATGAAGGAACTTTCCCCGAACTGCAGGCACTTTAGTAAATTCAATAAGTATTAGTACCTAGAGTATCTCTTTAAAATGGCAACATGTAATGCTCAGGTGTGTAATTCCCACTAATCATGGAAAGATCAGGACATAGATACCCCAATTACGCCCCAGAATAGGGAACCTAGACGGAATAAATGTTTTCTGTGCGTTATTACCAGATTGTGTGTGTGTGTATATAATTTTTTTTTTTTTTTTTAACATTCCTATAAACGCTGCGCAGTAATTTCTAGATCTGAATAATCCCAGTTACTCTTGTTGGATTGGTTTGATTTCTTTCTTCTAGCTCAGTTTAGACATTTTGTGGCTAACGAAGGAAGGTAATATGGGAAGTAATGTATTATTGCATGACTTCTAAGTTGTAGTACGTATGTGAATATTGTGATATAGAATGTGACACTAGTGGGGGTTTCTGTATCAGTCTGCATTTTGGGAAGGACTGCCACATTTATTTATTTTCTGATAGAAGGCTTGTTACGCTTTTTAGAGATGGAATAGAAATGAGAGCAATACTGAAGTTGATTTGGATTCTGTCCAACATCACTCCTTCCTTCTCTGTTCTGATCGGCTTATGTGTATGGGGGTTGGGGGGTGAGGACGTTGGGAGGCTTGGTTGTGGACAGAGTGGAGATTTAAGAAAAAAACTATTAAAACAGTGATTTTTAATGTAGTGAGGCTCGCAAGCTTCCCTTTGTTAAAGTTGCAATGCACTCTGATGGCAGATGTAATTTTTGCACAGAATTAACATTAGGCCGCTTGGAACAGTGACAATATCTCAAGCAGGGACAGTTGCAACTTACAAGGATTCCAAATCAATTATATCACGAAATAGGCATGTATATGTGATGGAGTCTGTAAGTGTTCCATTGGTAAAATGTATTTAGCCATTACCAGAGTTTCGGTAATAAACAGATACTTCCACGGAATCTGAATGGACTATATGAATGGATATGTACATGGTGCAGAGTGGGCATTGCTAGGACAAAAACTCAAAAAAAACAACTAATATGGCAATTTAAATAGAAGAGATCAATGGAGAGCAAAACAAACAAAGATTGGTTTAATGACAAAATCTATTGGGTGTAGAAAAATGAACAAATGGTGATTTTAATTTTTTTTTTTTTTTTGATTTATAAATGACCCCATCCTTAAATTGTCAATTCCCTTGTTCACACTTAGGGTAACTCAAAACTTGAACTTATTTCTGGCCTCTGTAGCAAATGTAGAGCATTTAAGACCAGAAAGCTCAGATCTGCTTTTATAGTTATGAACTTAGTTGCTGTCCATTATAAAGACTTTAAAAATGCTGTCTAGTCAGATCGATATTCCGCTTCTGTAGTTCTACAGAAGCCAATATTAATTACGGCTTTGCGTGCTGTGGGACATGGGTAAGTGGCAAACCATTGCAGAACAGTTTGCCTTCTTACCGGGGAACAACGCCGGAGTACTCCTGGCATCCTAGTCACTACAACAGGCTAGTAAAGTAATACGCTTGATCTTTTTGTGATTGTAGTTCTTACCGTGTTAATTTCAGGTCCCATCTAGTTAGTTCCTCAGTGGCACAATCAGTTGTAGGCATCTTTTTCTTTTTTTTTAAGGACTTTTTTCTTTTTTTTAAGGACTTTTTCTTTTTTTTAAGGAGTTATGAAATAAATTCACCTGTAAAGTAGTATATCGGTTACTCAAAAATATTCAATGTTGGCAATAACGTTTTTAGAAAACGCAGCCTCTGTAATCTATCAAAACCGAATACCTTTTAACTTGCCAGATACATTTTCATTTGTAAATATCCTCCTTGCATAATGCAGAAGAAAAAACTATTTATATAATTTGTTCTGTTTAGAGAGCAAGCAGTACTGCTGACTTTGTCAAGCAAGGGACTGCGAAGACTCGATTACAAGGGAGCCGAGCAAGAGTGGATCATTGTAACCAAGGGAGATAAGAAGAAGGATCAAAGAATAGTAGCACGGAGGGGGAGTTTAGAGTGCAGTGCCCCAGGCAACCACAGGAGAGCAAGCTGGTAATGGTGTACCCCAAGGGAGACCAAGAAATAATAAAGAACCAGCTGCTGAATGCAGGGGATGGATTAGATCAGAGGTGGTGGTAAAATGCTCAATATGATATAATAGACTGTGCGGGTCAAAGGAAATCTAGTAAATACTCCAATGATTATTAAGACAATTATTAGCAAAACAAGGATTGGCTGTTTGAATTAATAATTAGTGAGTGTGTGTATGTGTCTCTCTCTATAATTTTTGTGTAGATATATTTTTGTTCTCTTTGAGTGTTTTCTCGCAAATAGTAAGAAAGTTGATATATGGTATACGTGATTCCACATATATATAGGTGTGTATGTGTGTGTGTGTATATATATATATTTCAAGTAGAGATTGTAGCCGTATTAGTCCAGTGATGTAGATGTAAAAAACAGATAAAATTTGTATCTTGTAATACCTTTTTTATTGGACTAACAGAATTTTTTAATGACAAGCTTTCAGGAGAACCTCCCTTTCTCAAGTCTGAAGCATTTCTGAGCATGTGTCATTACAAAATTCTGTTAGTCCAAAAAAGGTATTACAAGATACAAATTTTATCTGTTTTTTATCTCTCTCACACACACACACACACACATTGTTGTTTCTGATGAATGCATTGCATGTTGGATGATATCATTCGTTCTTTATTTCCAGACCAAAATAAAATATGGAGGCTTGTAACGCTTGACAGTGTCGGCAGCTACATTTTCCAGTCTACCCAAGATTAGTCAAAGTATAACATCCCAAATGACAGCTGCTGAAGGCTACTAGAAAGCGAAACTCCCAATCATGTCTAGCAGATCAGGAGATGTATGTCCCTCTGCTAACCTGAGATTAAGGGAGCCTTAAAGGGACACTACAGTGACCAAACAACTTTAGCGTAATGAAGCGGTTTTGGTGTGTATATCATTGCCCTACAGGTCTCACTGCTCAGTGCTCTGCCATTTAGGAGTTAAATCGCTGTATTTATTCTGCCCTAGTCACACCTCCCTACATGTGACCAATACAGCCTTTCTAAACACTTCCTGTGTTTTTGTGCAGTATGTGTGTGTAATGAATATAATGAATGCAGTGTTTGTATATATAATGAATGCAGTGTGTGTGTGTGTATATAATGAATGCAGTGTGTGTGTAATGAATGCAGTGTGTGATGTAGAGTGTGTAACATTGGTGGGGGTGGGGCATTTTAATTTATTTTTGTCATTATTTTAATATTAAATTTTTTTACTACATTTTTATTTTTATTTTATTATAATATGAATTAATTTTTTTTCCTCCCCCCTCCCTGGTTGATACATGGCCCGGGAGGGGGCTTTATTATTCCCTGGTGGTCCAGTGGATGGGCTGTGCAGGAGGGGGGCTGGGAGTAAGCTGTTACCTTTACAGCAGCTCCGTTCAGCTCCCTTCTCCTCCGTCCTGTTCAGCTCCAGTGTAAATCTCGCAGTCTTCGTGCCGCGCGGATTACCGTGGCAACGCTCTGACGGCTGCGGCTCTAGCGAGACTTACATTGGGGCTGAACGGCACGGAGGAGAAGGAAGCTGAACGGAGCTGCTGTAAAGCTAAGTAACAGCTTGCTCCCAGCCCCCAACATGACCTCATTACAAGGGGGCGGTCCTGGTCTGTATTATGGCAATGTAAGTTGCCATAATACAGACACTGACTCGAGTATAAGACAAGTGGGGCTTTTTCAGCACAAAAAATGTGCCGAAAAACTCGTCTTATACTTGAGTATATACGGTATACATACATGAAGCGAAGACATACGCAAAGTGTGTATTAGGGGAAAATATCAGTTGTTCTGCCCCCAAAATGATATAGTAGACTAAAACCCTTAAAAATGGTTCTGTATGATAAGCATTTCATGATGTTTGAAATTACTGACATACCAGCTGCTATGGAATGCAATGTACAGACCCACGTGTGTCCTCTGTAGTGATAATTAATTGTGTGTGTGTGTATGTATGTATATATGTATGTGTATACATATATATAGCGAGGGCTTGTACTCCTGGTGTAATCCTGTGGTGCCCGGTGCTGGTCTGGCAAGGATCATGTAGACATAGCAGAAATGACCGCACTCCAAGGACTTTATAGAGATTTTCAAATAAAATGTAACTTTTATTCAATCCATTTAAATGAATGGAATAAAAGTTAAATTTTATTTGAAAATCTCTATAAAGTCCTAGGAGTGCAGTCATTTCTGCTGTGTGTGTGTGTATGTATGTGTATATATATATTATAAAATCTAAGCATTTGACAGCAATTCTGTTAGGATATGTAGATGGAATTGAGTTTGCTTTTATTTTATGAAGAAAAAAAAATACACACAAAAATCTCTGTGTATTACAACTTCTGCCTAAAATGTGACTCCCAACAATCTTGGACAGCCTGCCTTTTAGTTGAATTACAATTTTGGGTTCTACAATTTACAGTGTTTGCATAATGTGATGTACCATTTGAAAACTTGGTCACAAAACTCACCGATCACTACCTGCTCTCCCTAACACACTCCAAAACAAGTCAAATAGGTGATCCAGTTGACATTCCCTACTACCCTACTCTCAACACTTATCTACTCTTCCATAAAAATCTCCTTTCCCAACCTTTACTATTATTGTATGGAACAACTCTTACCACTTTCATGTTAAATGTATGCCTCTTATAAGACTTGGTCTTAACCCCTCAGAACACACGAGTCGCTCATTTCATATAAGAGCAGCATCTATTGCCTCCAGTAAAAATGTGCCATCACACATTATTAAAATGTTAGGATGTTGGAAATCCTTAGCTTATTCACCATACATACCTCAACCTGTAGAAGAGTTACGTCAAGATTTTCTCGATATGTCTATGTAAATGATGGCATGAAAATTGTAGCTTGAATAAATTATAGGTTTGGTATCCTCTATTTTTGCCCTCTTTTTATTACAGGCCTACTGCATCGTCGGTTCTGGCACACCAAAACCGACTTGTCAGATATGAGGTATCACGTATATACCCACTATGCAACTCGTTACGGCCCCAAACACAAGTGTATATATATATATGTGTGCATATTCGCCTAGATGTACAGATTTAGCTCACAGCAATTCAATCAGGATTTTTCACTATAGTGAGAATTTAAAGTGAATTCCAAATTGTAGAAGAAAATAGTCCAACTGGAAACATAGCTGACTTTGAGAATAATTCCAATTCGGCTGTATGGGCCTTACATTTAAAATCCACTTTGAAGTGTCAATTTAGTAATGCCCTTTGTCCAAATTTGGTCAGAACAGTCCCAATTTTTGAGGTCTTGTCTTGCCATCCAAACCTTTTGTCCCTGGCATCCTACTTTGGGGGACACCAGTGAACTGTCCCCAAAAGTGTAGCAAGAGCATATCATTGGACACATTTGTGCTACATTCTGGGCACTAGGACCCTGCTCGAAAGATCTTACGTCCCAGGGGCAACACAGTCATAGTTGTTATACATAGAATGGACAATAGGTACCAGTGTCTTAGGTTTGTCCAAAATGACCACATATCTCAGGAATGGGATATTTATTTATAGAGTAGTATAGCCCCTGAAATCCAGAGTTATTGATAAATTATACAGTGCTAACCAGAGTTAAGAATCATGGCTACGTCACCATAAACAGTCATAAGCCTATGCTAAATATTTAAGGGGAAACTGGTATTGCTCTTACATGGGGTTACTGAATAAAATATTGCCAGTTATCAGTGCTGGCTTATCCTTTCTATTGATTGTAATTTTATCATTTGAAGAATGATGTGTGATCTTTTAAAGCAGATTTATAACATCAGGTTTAAAGGAACACTCAAATGTTTGAAATGCAAACCTGTATTCCTCTTGTTAGAGTGTTTACTTAACTATTTAAATTATTGGGCCCCAATTTATATTTATTTTAATTTTAATGTTATACTTTCCTTTAGTTCCCTGGTGTGCCGGACTCACTACAGCTGCCACTCCTCCACGGACTGAGTTCATTGTTACAGATGATCACGGCCAATCCAATTCTGACCCATAGGGACGCACTTTGGGGACTAGTGCGCATGTACAGCAATCGCCACTCTGTGCTGAGCAACATTTCCTCACAGAAATGTATAGGCTCAATGCATCTCTACACAAGTGTTCGGTCCTGCAGAGATTGCAGGACCTCTCCAGGTGGTGCCTGAGTTCTAATGTGTGCCTGAGTGGTGACTAGTGCATGCAATGTAAACTCTACCTTTTATCAGAAAAAAATGTGTTTACATTGTTAAGACTGTAGTGACAGTCTTTTTACATCAGTACCACTACATTAAGCTGTAATGGTTCTGGTACTTATAGTGTCCATATAAGTCAATTTTACACTGTGTTTGTATGTGAGCCCTAAATACTACAATGTATATATTATATTTTAAACCTACATTAAGCTTATCTTGCCACCTAATGTTTTCAAGTACACCTGTTAATAAAAATACTTGATAAATTATGTGTTCAATTCCAAAATGCTATGATCAGATCAAGATGCCAGGTGGAAATCAGAATTACGTTTAATTTAAACATTTTGTGACTATTTCTCACTATCTATACTTTACTTTTTAAGATTTCCAAGACGTTGCCCAGCTCACTAAAAATTTAGAAATACGATGGCAAATAAAATTTTCAAAAAAAGTAATATGTCAAATTTTACCTTGTGCCTAGTAGTTGAGCAAAATCACAAACTGGTTATAGATATAGCTATTTAAATGTTATTAAGATGTGATGCAAGTGCCCTGACAAGGGGCTGGAAGCAGTCTATTTTGGAGTGTTTCCACAAGTTCAGTTGAGTGCAAATGCACTGGCTACTGCTATGTCTTGTCAAAAACTGTGAACATCGCTTGAAGAGATACGTGTCTGTGCTGACAGATTTCTTATCAGTGTTTTGAGCTGTCACTGAGGTGTATAGACATGTCTCTGGAATAACATAAATACAATATATTGCAGAGAAGATGATGTGCAAACTAGCGAAATGTTTCCCTGCAAATTATTGACATCATTAGCAGAATGAAGCATCGTAAGCAGCCTTGGAATCACCAGACTAGATCCTTATACCATAGATTTAATTTTTAAAATAAAAATATAAAATATTTTGTATAAACTTAGCGTATTATTTTTCAATTTCTCTGGTTGTAAATACCCAATTAAGTTATTTCCTTCAGATCGTTTAGTGGTTGAAAGCTGTGGGAAAGATTCAAATTATGCTACAACTTAATTTTCTGATTCTTATGTCAGAATGAAAGGGATATCTGAATCACACCTAATTAGACACAATTCTAATAGTCGGTAGACTGACCACATATTTACAGTTTCACAATCTAGAAGTTCTCATGCAGCCACTTGCTGTCTTCAAGCGAAAGGATGTTGCTGTACTTTAGTAAATATTGCATTTTACTAAATGTAATGTTACGCAGCGCTCTGCATGAACCTCTATATAACACGCATTTAGCACTCTCTGTGTAAACTTTCAGCATTTACTATAATTTATCTATATAGCGTTTATTTGAGAACCAAACAAAACACACATGTATAAATAGTAAATTCAAAGAGAGCAAAAAACTTTTTTAGTCAAACTAGGATTTCTTTATATTTTATTTGAAAGAACTTCTTGTGACTTGGTTTTTCACTTACATTTTTTAAACCAATTTCCCTTTATAAGGGCCCAGGTCTTCAAACTTAGCATAATCTTAGAGTTTTGTTAATATAAGAAGTAAAACCCCTCAACATTCTGTATCTGAACATTTAATAAATTCTATAACAGCGACCCAGGACTATTGACATTTGTAGGGTTAGAACAAGTTACAAACCATTTATTTTACATGCCTAAATTTTATGTATTGAATATTCGTATATACATAATTGTAACTTTGTTTTATTTTTACTTTTTCCTATTATCATATACTCTTCATTATGAGCTTGGACTCTAAATCACGTTGTAACCATTTATTATTGAAACTGTTACATATCTGCCTCCATCACCCAATAGGAGTTCTCCTAAGAAGGCCATGAACTTGGACTCTAAATCATGTTAGAACCATTTATCATTGCAACCAATAACATGGCCGCCTCCATCACCCAATAGGAGTTGTCCTAAGAAGGCCATGAACTTGGACTCTGAATCACGTTGGAGCCATTTATCATTGCAACAGATAAGTCACCTCCATCACCTAAAAGTGGTTATCCTAAGATGTCCATGAACTTGGCCTCTGAATCATGTTGCAGCCATTTATCATTGGAACCAATGATATGGCCGCCTCCACCCAACAAATAGTTCTCTCAAGAAGGCCATGAACTTGGACTCTGAATCATGTTTGATTCATTTGTCATTGGAACTGATAACATGGCTGCCTGCATCACTGAATAGGAGTTCTCCTAAGATGGCCATTGCAAATTCCATAACCCAAGGACAGATTGGAGATACATGAAATCCAACAATGCGATTAGACATTTTTTAAACAGAATGCTGATTGGAAATTTGCCAAAACTGAAATACCATTTCTTACAAGACTTTCACTTCTAGTTGAAATGTGTACATTTCCTACACTTGGCTATCAAATCTCTTCCTACTGGCTGCAGCATTTATGTGATTAGAGAGATGAACAGATATTTAGAAAATTATTTGTTTAGGGATCGAAATGATGATCTACACCAGTGGTGGCGAACCTATGGCACGCGTGCCACAGGTGGCACGCCGCGCCCCCTCTGTGGGCACGCGGCCATAGGTCGCCGTGCGCTCCGCCGGCGCATCCATAAGGCGGCACAAGTGGCCGCCTTAGGGCGCACCGGCCCGGCGGGCGCAAAGCCGGAGTGACCGGCAGGAGGTCACCGCAGAGCGCTCCCTCCTGCCAGGCACTCTGTGTAGTGTGGCCGAGCGCGCCGCGGTTTCCTGTACCCGGGCGGACGGAAACGAAGTGCTCACAGAGAGAGCACTTCCTGTCCGCCGGGTACAGGAAACTGAGCTCCGCGCTCGGCCACGCTACAAGGTAGGAGACCAGGGCCGGCGCTACCATAAGGCGGCACAAGCGGCCGCCTTAGGGCGCACTGGCCTGGGGGGCGCAATCCTCGGGTGACTGGCAGGAGGAGAGCACACTGCATAGTGCTCCCCTCCTTCCGGTCATTGCGTGTAGAGTTACCGAGCGGGCGGGCCGCGGTTTACCCGGTCTGACAGGAGATGCAACACACTGCTTCCTCTCAG